ACCGGTTATAATCTCGAGATATTGTCTGCGTGAAGCGACTGTCGCGCGGCATGAATTTGTGGCGTTTGATATTTGATATTATATCGTTTCGCGTGCATAATATATTATCGCAAATCAATATCTCGCTATCGATATTATAATTTTGCCGTATTGTTTGCAAAAGATTCAGTGCGCGATAAATTTGTGGGAGTTGAGGCAATATCGGTATTTGCATAAGGATTACGCTGTGTGGCGTATTCAACTATTGCAAGTCGGTACAATAATCTCTATTGTTGCCTAAGCATTGTTGTCTAAGCAGGAGAAGCGCCATGCTAGATCAATTTGTGGCGGTTCGCATAATCGCGCGACGAGATTGATATGAGCGAATGCAGATAACGTGACGCGTAATTTGTACGTCCGTTGCGTCCGCGTCACGACCGATTTCAGCGTGCAGTGCGTTGTTGATAGAACCTAATTTCTGTTCTCTCTCTCTCTCTCTCTTTGAATGCGGAACATTCCGCGGCTCACTTGTCATTTCGTGTTGCGGAACAACCGATGCGGCGGCTCGCTGCAGCTGAAAGGGCCGTAATTAATGTCCGTGCCAGCAATACAATCGCGCGAAAAAGCCGACCTGGCAGAGCCAGACGCGAAAATAATTATCCGCGAACTCGCGCCGTAAGTTCGCGGTAATTTTCGAGCTTTAATAATTTCATCGATCATCGAGGCGGTGTATTTCGGGCCACGATTTTTCTCGCCTTGCCTTCCCGTCGCCTTTGTGTGTGCGGAGTATTTTCACATTGCTGTATCGGATATTGATAAAAAGGGGCTCGCACGACCACGCATTTTTATCGCCGTTTGCGCCATTACGACGTAAATACGGAAATGATTTTCAGTGAAAAATTATGTATTCGTTACAAAGTTTTTACCACCGTTTTCACACGACGACACTGCGTACACAATCGTTTTAAGGGGATTTGTATAAGTTGTTATGCTAATATAATATTATTGTAATTTAATGTATCTTCGAATTCTATGCGAGTGCATAAACCCGTAATTTAGGCAAAAACTGGTCGCATTATTCATGCGCATTTATCACGGTAGAAACTGGAATCGCGCCCTAGACAGAAGTATTACTCATTTGAATATTATTGAAAGTTGCCAATCTACTCTTAAAAACACAAATGAATAATTGCCATTCAAATAAGCGAGCCAGAGTCGCGAATAAATTTTTTATCTCCTTTGTTATTCCGCGCATATTCGACTTTAACATTAATTCCGGTTTTTTTTTTCGCTGTTACATAAAAATAGTTACGCGTTCGGATTGTGCGCTTTAAATTTCCGGAGTGTTCGTATTTTATTTATTTTTTCCTGTACTTTTATTTTAATTTCTGTGACGGAGAGATAAAAACATGAAAATGTCGTGGGGAACGTGTATCGGTCGCCTAAAGAATTTATATTTGTAATTTTGCGCACGCCCGAGTTGCTCGCCTTCCGCTTCATTTCTGATACTCCAACAACAAACATAGCAGCAACTACACGACAACGGCATGATCCTCTTGTAATCCCAGCTGCGCTCGATGCAGAGCAGCAACGATGACACGGTGTCGCTAGAAATAACAATATCGGATTTTGCTGTCCTATAGCCGTCATAGCGTCTTCTGATCTAAATAATATTCTGAATTACGCCGCTTTTCGAGGGTTGCCCCGCGCGACTGCAATCAGCCGTTTTCGATACACTTATCGCTCTTCCCGCTCTTTATTACGTCAAACATCACTTCTCCGTGTACACTTCGAATAATTACGTTGTCCCGCAACTTCAGCGTTATTACTCGCGTTGTTTAAATTACGCTACGATATCAAGGCCGATGAGTATTTCCATGCGGTGTATTAATACGCGCGATATTGTGTGCAAAAATAAATGTCTTGAAGAAGGTGGCAAGGTGGCAAAGAAAGGATATATCACACAAAGACATATTTTTATTTTGTATGCGATGCATGCGATATACATAACATGTAACCATAAATATTTCAATGTAAATTATGATTTATATTTGAAATTTGCACACGCTCAGAAAAGATTTATTATTAATCCTTTGTATTGGAAATATTTCGCGGGTCAAAGATGTTAAACCCGTTTCTCACGTATATCAACCGATCTGCACGTATAACCCAAAAAGGTTTTGAATGCGCCATACAATTCTCTCGCGAATTGATTCTAGAAATAGAATCACAACATACACGTTTCTGCTTTCTGAATGCCAATTTAAATGAATATATTTCGCACGGCCGCCAATTAAATGCCGACGCAAGCGAAAGGATGAAATAAAATAAAAACATATCAGTTTTCGCTATCTAGTCTACTTTCAAGGCTTTGTTTGTTTTTTTTTGTTTTTTTTCGTAGCGAGAGAGAGAGGCAGGATAATTTTACATACGCGAAAGATTAAACGGCGAGCGCTAAATATCAGCGCTTTGACCTGTTACGTAAGGCGTAACCAAATTCTCGTTCTTTCACGATGCGGAGGCTGCGGAACGCGCAAAGCGACGTTAATCACGACGACGCAAAGAGCCGCCGTTAATCACGCCAAGTACACACATATTTGTGTGCCACCGACATGCACATGCCGTGTACACAGTCTCGCCCCATGTTTGCGCATCGTGTAGAAATTCTTCGTTCGGTGGCCCAAATGCTTCGGTTTATCGTACAATTGATCTATTGTTTCGGCAACTCTGCCGGAAATTCGTGCGTGATATTCCATCATCGTGATGTCCAATGCATTCGTGGAACGCGAAGGGATCAATAAAAGATATGTCGCACAAACGAGAAAATTATTCTCGATTAATCAGTCTCGATTAATTGGGAAAGTCGTGGAACGCGCGACTGTATAATTACTTTAGCTGCAACTGACAAATTAAAATAAAAAATTGCGAATTCTGCAATTTTGCCACGTTGGAGAACAAATTTCAAGAAATTGTGAAATTTGGAATTTTGCGAGTTTGTCCTTGAAGCTTTTATACGCGAAATATTACATTTATTACTGCGTGAAAGCTAAAAGCGTGTGTAATTGTAACGCAATTCACAATGCACATGATACTTTTTTATGACGCTAAAATAGGTATAAAATTGCTTATTGTTTTCTATAAAGAAGTTAAATAAATTTTATATATTTTATTAACATCTCTCTTTACATCGCTTTTGATTAAAGATTAAAATTTTTAATGTTTGTGTATAGTTAATCATATTTATTTGTTTTATCGATACAAAAAGAGTGGTTTAATACAGTAATCGTTTATTGTGTAAATTGTGGATTTGGATAAAGTGTGAGTTGCGAATGTTTTCTTCGTCTTCGGCTGGCAGAGAGCTTACCTTTGCGGAGAGAAGCCTAATTGCAATCTTGTTAGCAACGTAGTGCAGCTTATATTCACACGTAAACAGTCGTTAATAAACAATGTTAGTAGCGGTTGTCAAAATACATATGTTATTAATTTGAAAATGCAGCATCAGTTTTCAGACAAATTGATGAAGAAAAATGCGAGAAAATATCACGGCATTAATGCGAATGTGAGCAGAAAATAATGATTAATTTCTATAATTTCTATTTATATCACTTTTCAAGTTTTAAACCTTTAATGTGTTTATATTTAGAGTTTATTGTATTTTTATTGGTTATATAAGTATAAAAAGATGCTTAATGCAAGAATTGTGGATTGTGAATTTGAATAAAATGCGGATCGCGAATGAATCTGCATAATAAGGTCCGCGATTTGCATTGTGGAAGCACATTTTGACCTAGAATATGTATTTAATTAACAAAATATTAATTGGTGTAATATTTATTCCCGCGCCCGTTATCTTAATTATTGGTTTGTGTATAAGATAAGCGAGCGATGATATCTCGATTTACACTTGAGATTGAGGTGTAATAGCCGAGCACGTGATAACTGTAAGCTATGCTTTCTATGCCTGTAGTTTCTTCGATGGCGTCGATGCACAATGGTTTTGCGTGATGTAAAAAGTTGATGCTTCCAGGTTTCTAATTATTCACCTTGGGCTTTAGCGTGAGGCTTAATTATATTGTATAAGACGTGGGATTATCTGTACGCGCTCCATTAATGCGAAATAGCTGGATCAATAGCTCGCTTGGTGTCTACCGAGTCGTGCTCGCGCCTTTGCCGTTGCGAAATAATGCCACACTCTACTTTGACATTTCTATTGTAAACTTTTTTTTCTATAAAACGCAGTATTCAGTGTTATACAAATGGTATGTGATACAGTATATAATACTTTATAGAAAAATAAGATGGATCACAATATATAAAAAATATATATTACATAAGAAAAAAATTCTGATAAATAATGAAAAATAATATAAAAGTATAATAAGAAGTATATAAAGGTAGAGCGCGATAAAAAATGTATTAGCCAAGACAGATATTATTTCATATTTTTTCACAACACTCCATGCCAGTTTTTTATAAGCAATCCTTTGCTTGCAATTGCCTACGAAATGAAAGCTCTCTCTCCTTTCATGCGATGCTTTAAAGCTGCCAGGCGAGATAGGGCCCTGCCTCAATATCGACCCACACCGTCGTTTCACTCTCCGCCTGGACCACACTTATTTAACGACGGTTCCCTCGCAATATCGGGCATTGTATAGTTGCAAAGCCGGAGGTGTGTGGCTATTGTAGCTTGCGCCATGCTGGAACTTGTGTTATCAGCATTACGCGTACCACGTGTAATATGTCATTGGGCTGATCGCTGCAAGAATATGAAAAAGGAGAAAAATAGCGAACAATGTTTTCTCGTATAACATAATTATTTTTTTTTTATACGAAATGTACAAAAATATTTCTATTTGAAAAAATAAATTTATCCACTGATATTTTATCTGTTATTTTTAATTTGCGAAGTAATATATTATTTGTGTACATTTTTATTATTCCGATAATTAAATTATAATATTATTTTTAGACGTAAAAATTAATATACAAATGCAAATGTAAATTGTGTAAATTATTTTTAGATTGGTCGACGACAGATGTGTCGTGTGTCCCGAAGCAGGAGACTTGTCGAATCCACCGAAGAAATTCAGAGGTAATTTATATTTTCAAGATAGCTTATATGTGTTTTTAGTCGACATTTTCGCTGTGCGATGAATATAGTGATAAATTTACTACAACTTTTTGATATTTAATTTTCTGAAATATCTCACTGCTTTGCGAAGCAAATGTTAAAACAAATATGACACACGAGCGATGATAATTGTTGATTTCTAGATTGCCTCTTCAAAATATGTCCTATGAACCGGTATTCCGCCCAGAAGCAATTCTGGAAAGCAGCAAAACAGAGCGCGAGTTCGGGTACAGATGCTGTGCTAATCAAAAGGCTTCACGTGAGTTACAAAAATGTTACACTGTTCAATCAATTGACTTTGTCGAGGAAGAAAATATATTTATCTTATATTCAAGCGAAATTGGAAAAATGACACAACGTTTCATGCACAACGTTTCTGAAGAATAAACAGATATGTTGCATATTAAATACTTACAGATACTCACAGAGAATTATCAAACCGGTTTGCAATTCTGTGACTGGTTTATTGATTATTTAATGAAATTTTTCACTGTGCTCGAAGTTTTTAATCGCGTCCGGTTCTCGAGAGATTCAAGAAAGAAATATTAAAAGTATTTTACACAAACGTTTTCGACGAGTTATGTAAACTAGAATTCTGTGTTTATCCCTATGATATTTGAATTGTTGAGAATTATACTTATTTTTAAATATACATATACATATGATGCTAAAATTGAGTCTTTAATGGAGTTGTATAATACTTCAGTTATGTATATTATCTAATTTAAATTTATTTTGATTTCAGCACGCGGCCGAAATCGAGAAGAAGCAAAATGAGACTGAAAACAAGAAACTGTTGGGCAGCGTGGTTTCGTACGGCAATGTCGTGCAGGTAAGAGAATAATTCTTTTCTGAAAATCTTCTCCCAAGTGACATTATTTTCATAAAATGTATCTTGAATATTTTATGCTTGACAGCGTATTCTTATAATGCAAAGGGGCCGGTGTGTAAATAATAATAGATTTATCAATACCGTTGGGGGAGCGGTTTCCCCCTTGACGCCTTCCTTTTTTCGCAAAGCTATCATAAAAACTGTTTGGTACATCCATCCGTATTGGCATAGTTATCTGCCTTGTATAGAGCGCGCGATAAGTGCCTGCTAATTAACAAGTTTTCCCTCCTCCGCGATATTGTTGCTATGTCGAAAAATAGCAGCGGCGTTGCCGCGCTAAGTTTTTAGCAAACAAGTCGATTTCCTTTTCGTATTGTGTTGCTTGGGAAAAATTAAGGAATAGCAGCTTTGATCATCGATAAAGAAGAGCGTCATGTCAAACGTTCCGTTATATATATATTGCATATTATTATTATAGATTGTATCTTCGATCGTAGGAGAGCCAGTGGACGTCATTAGAGACGTTGAATTAATTTCTGATATAATGTACGGACTTGATTGAATCATCGATGCACTCATCTTCCACACTTTGTTGATGCGTTACACAAGTTTTTGTATCGATTTATACGCCATATATTTCGTGTTTGATTGTATATATCGCGAAATTATACAAAATTATAACATTTATGAATAATTTATCACAGTGGCACAAATTCGCTGTTACGCACTGCAGATGTCACGATAGAAATTATTAATTGCCACTGTTGCGTGCGCATAAATTTGCATTAAATTCGCCCGCGTTACCATTATTTACATCGATTCTTTTATGCGGCAGCTGCTGCATCTTAAATCCAACAAATTCCTGACGGTGAACAAGAGGCTGCCGGCGCTGCTGGAGAAGAACGCGATGAGGGTTTACTTGGACGCGAATGGGAACGAGGGCTCGTGGTTCTACATAATGCCGTTTTACAAGCTGCGAAGCGACGGCGATAGCGTCGTCGTCGGCGACAAAGTGATTATGGAGCCGGTGAACGCGGGTCGACAGGGTCTCCATGTGGCCGCGAATTACGAGTTGGGCGATAATCCCGGCTGTAAGGAGGTCAACGTCGTCAACTCGTCTACCTCTTGGAAGGTGACTCTTTTCATGGAGCATCGGGAGAATCAGGAAGAAATTCTCAAGGGCGGCGACGTTGTGCGACTGTTTCACGCGGAGCAGGAGAAGTTTCTGACGATGGACGAGTATAAGAAAAAGCAGCATGTTTTTCTTAGGACGACGGGTAGAACCAGTGCCACAGCGGCTACTAGCAGCAAGGCATTGTGGGAAGTTGAGGTGAGAGCTGATTTATTTTCTATAATTATTAAAATAATTTGTACACTTGCTTCAATTTATTGGTATTTATTTGTGGCACAATAATGGAAATATATTTGGAGAAATTTTTTATATAAACTCTTATCAAATAAAATATATTGTTGTGACTGCTGACGTTTGCGATATTTTCTCGGTTTATTTGTCGAGTAGGTGGTGCAACACGATCCGTGTAGAGGAGGTGCCGGCCACTGGAATTCACTTTTCAGATTTAAACATCTAGCGACTGGCCAGTATCTGGCTGCCGAGATTGATGCGGATGAGCAACGGGAGCCTGTAAAGGGCAAGCGCGGTTAGTGTAGAAACGTATTGAAATTATTATTTTCCCAAGTTTGCGTTTTAAAATGGACTATGATTTATTTGGTTAAAAAAACAATTATGATGAAATTCCGATAAATCATTTATGCGTTCATACGATTTAATAGATCCACCCGGACAGGTCTACAGATTAGTATCGGTGCCGCACAGTAATGAGATTAGCTCATTATTCGAACTAGATCCCACAACTCTAACGCGAGGCGACAGTCTAGTTCCGCAATCGTCCTTTGTTAGATTGCATCACATATGCACAAATACTTGGGTCCATTCAACAAGCGTACCAATCGATAAGGATGACGAGAAGCCCGTGATGTCGAAGGTAATACATTCTGACTGATCATAATTCCTGCATCAGGAATCGCAAATAAAATCTATGGATTTATACATATTTATCGATGGATTATGAGGAAGTGATAGATAAATTATTCCATTTGAATATATTTAATATGCTTCTGAAAGGTGGGTTGCGCAACCAGCAAAGAGGATAAAGAGGCCTTCGCGTTAAGATCTGTATCGCCGGTCGAAGTGCGCGATTTAGATTTTGCAAACGACGCCTGCAAGGTACTGACGGCTATGAACAGCAAGCTGGAACAAGGAACGATTTCGCACAACGAGCGGAGAGCCGTCACCAGCCTGCTACAGGACATCGTGTACTTTATAGCCGGTTTAGAAAACGAACAAAACAAATCCGAAGCGTTGGAGCTAATCGTTACGAATGCCGTGAGAGATCGTCAGAAATTGTTGCGTGAGCAATACATCCTCGGCCAGTTGTTCAAAATACTGCAGGTATTTCGAGTTCGCCATTGATCGCGCGGAGATACCGGCGATACCGCGAACAAGAACGTCTCAATATCTCAGTATCTCGATTACAGGCTCCGTTCTTAGAGTCGGCGGAGGGTGAGGGACCATTTCTTAGGATAGAAGAGCTTAACGATCCGAGACACGCACCGTTCAAATACATGTTTCGCCTGTGCTATCGAATACTCCGACTTTCTCAGCAGGATTACAGGAAGAACCAGGTACTGCGATTTTGCGTGACGCGATCAATTATGCCATGCGACAGTGTGACATATAAATTTATCGTTAATTATTATTAAGACATATCCTTTTCCGTTTTACACAGGAATACATTGCTAAACACTTCGCGTTTATGCAAAAACAAATCGGCTACGATATTCTAGCGGAAGACACTATTACCGCACTCTTGCACAATAACAGAAAGTTGCTGGAAAAGCATATAACGGCTGCTGAAATCGAAACGTTCGTGGGTCTTGTGAGGAAAAACATGCGTAACTGGCAATCGAGATTTTTAGACTATTTGTCGGATCTGTGTATCTCTAATAAGAAAGCAATTGCTGTAACACAGGAATTAATTTGCAAAAGCGTGCTCAGCGAAAAGAATAAGGACATTTTATTAGGAACGAAGTAAGTGCGATGAGTAGCGTGAACGATGTTAATTTCTCTGATGCATTTCAATTTACTTTAGAATGGTGAAGACCCAGGTAGAAGTTGAAGATATCGACGAGAAGCAAGAAAACGCTGAACCGAAAATTACTGTTATAGAAGAGCTGGAAGTAATATTGGAATGGAATAATGGAACTGTAAATATATTTGATAATAATTTATTAAAATAATATATATATATATGCAAATTAATAACAATATAATTTTTAATGCAGAAATCGATGTCTTTGAGCGAGCTGTCAAGAGGAGCGAAAATGGGGAATCTTCAAGACGCAGCTATATTAGATTATTATAGACATCAGTTGAATCTCTTTAGTAATATGTGTCTGAATAGACAGTATTTAGCGCTAAATAATCTGTCACCGCATTTGGACATCGATCTTATACTCAAGTAAGTTGTGCGCTTGTTCTCGATGTTAAAAGTCATTTTCAAGTCGTGTTATATACTTTTGTATATTCTTGCAGATGTATGGAAGATGAAACAGTGCCATACGAATTGCGCGCATCGTTTTGTCGACTTATGCTGCATCTTCACGTAGATAGAGACCCGCAAGAACAAGTAACTCCCGTAAAGTACGCTCGTCTCTGGTCTGAAATTCCGTCGAAAATGAGCATAAACGAGTAAGTAAGAAACGGAATGCGAGATGAGTAAGACAGATATTTAAAATTCTTTTTCATAATTCCTAGTTACGATACGAATAAAATGCCAGACGAAAACAAAGAGGCTGTTCGTACTAAATTTAGCTCAACAATCATGTTTGTCGAGGATTACCTTTGTAACGTTGTTGCGAAAATGTGGTCTTTTGGGGATCAAGAACAGAATAAGCTAACATTTGAGGTATGCAAATTACTTTTTTCCAGCTTATCTCTATATTGCTAACTATATTTATTCGTTGCTTTATATATTGTTTACAGGTTGTTAAATTGGCCCGCGATCTAATTTATTTTGGATTCTATAGTTTTAACGATCTGCTAAGTTTAACAAAGACGTTGCTTAGCATCTTGGATTGCGTATCGGAGAATGAATCTACCGATGGAAAGTTACCTACAGGTGATATTGATTGTAAGTTGAATAGTTTTATTACTTCCATTTCATGAGACATAATGTACAAACTATGTTTTGTACCGCTTATTGATTCTATAAACTCCACAAGTAATACTTTGTAGTGAAGCCATTCGACTCATTTATATATATATCATTCACGCGCATGGTAGCAATCTTGCAACATAAAGTTTAGTTTACCTTCTTGCGTAATATCATGTTAATGTATCACTGATATAATGAATTTTCCCCGGATTGTGTGTGTCCTATTTTCAAATTTATTTTATATTCTGAATTTTCGTATTCTGATTTTAAGAGCGTTACTTTCATAAACTTGTATATAATGTTCTCATGCTGTAACATATTGGTACTACATGTGATCCATGCTTCAGAGAAACACCTTTGAAAATAAAGTACTTTTACGGCGAATTATTTATAATATACGGCGAGGTAAATGTGTTTATCAAAACTAATCAACTTACTCTTGTAAATATTTCATCACAGCTGATACAGTGGATTCTGAGGAGGCAGGTAATAATCCCATTAGAAAAGCTTGTCGAAAGTTAATTAGACTGTGTGATGCGTGGAATATATTAGCAAGATTTAGCATGCAATCTTGCGCGTTGTACAAACCTTTTAGTTGTTCATGCTCATATTTTTATTATATTCATTTTTTAGATTATAATTGTATAATTATTTGTTGAAAATAAGCATTTCAAAAAGTGTGAATTCAAGAATATCATATTTTAGTAATACATATCTTTAACTGTATATGGACACTGTTTTATTTGATTGACGATTTCGAGTGAATTCTTCATCTTTCTTTTCATAGCAAATAACGTTTCAGAGAGCGCACGGCACGCCTACTTGGATTTTCAGCTTGAATAATCTTTTGTCAAATTTCATAGCTCTAATAGTGCACCATCTTTTATGGCTTATTGATGTAATGTAAACTTTTATTTGTTATGGTATGTTGAAATAGCTGAAGGAGGTGTCCTCAGATGTATCGGTGATATGGGTGCTGTGATGACGAGCTTGACACTAGGACCAGCCGGTCAAGTGCTACCCAGCTCCTCCCCGAGACCAAAGCCACTAATGAAGAAGGAGTATCCCTTGGTGATGGACACGAAGCTGAAGATAATTGAAATTTTGCAATTTATTCTGGACGTACGACTGGATTATAGAATCTCTTGTCTCTTGAGCATATTCAAACGCGAGTTCGACGAGACGGCATCAACCGCTGCCATCGAGAAGACTGGAGACGTGACTTTGGGACAGAAAACCATTGACTTAGAATCAGTCGGCGCACAGGCGGAAGGGATTTTTGGTAGCAGGTAATACATCAGATATGTCGAATGAGGGCTGCGTCACACAGAGATGTTTTTTGTTTAGCGAGGAGTGCGCGGCGTTGGACCTGGACGCTCAAGGAGGTAGAACGTTCTTGCGCGTTTTACTGCATCTGGCTATGCATGATTATCCCCCGTTAGTTTCCGGAGCTTTGCACTTATTGTTCAGACACTTTAGTCAAAGGCAAGAAGTTTTGCAGGCCTTCAAACAGGTTAGACCATTTTCTGGCTTGTTAAAATATGTGATTGGAGAAACAAAATTGATGATACACAATGAACGTGGTTAACAGGTGCAGCTCTTAGTTTCCGATAGCGACGTAGAGTCTTATAAACAAATAAAGGCGGATTTAGACGTTTTGCGTCAGTCCGTTGAGAAGTCCGAGCTGTGGGTGTACAAATCTAAGGCGACGGAGGAACATGGGAATAAGAAGAAGAAGAGCAAAGAAGAGGAAGACGAGGGCACAACTTCCCGCAAAGCGCCTTTGCTGTCTATTTCGGACAAACAAGGTGTTTATCAATAATTATTTTGTTAATACTTTTTTATTCCTTAAGATACACATATTTAATTGGTTTTTGAAGGATCTGCTATCGATTTGGATATCGGCCCGCCATTGCACCCCGAGCAAGCTGAAGAATATAAAAAGATTCAGCAGATATTAATGAGAATGAACAAATTGTGTATTCAAATTCTGCCAGGCGGCCAAGTGAAGGCGCGCAAACACGAACAGAGACTTCTGCGCAATGTCGGAGTGCATACTGTCGTTCTTGATCTGCTTCAAGTCCCATTTGACGCAAAGGAAGATGTCAGAATGAACGAATTGATGCGCTTGGCGCACGATTTTCTGCAAAACTTTTGCCTGTCTAATCAACAGAATCAGGTTCTTTTGCACAAGCAATTAGATCTGTTTTTGAATCCCGGCATAAGAGAGGCGCAAACCGTTTGCAGCATTTTTCAAGATAACTCTGTCCTTTGCAACGAGGTCAGTGCGAAAGTCATACAGCACTTCGTGCATTGCATCGAAACACACGGGAAGCACGTGCAATACTTGAAGTTTTTGCAAACTATAGTGAAAGCTGAAAATCAATTTATCAGAAAGTGTCAGGAAATGGTGATGCAGGAGGTGAGATGCCTGTTTTTTTTACATACCAAATTAACGCTGTAATACACAAAATTCGTAGAATATCCTCTTACTTATTTTTATTTTTGTTTCAGTTGGTTCAATCGGGAGAAGATGTCTTAATCTTTTATAACGACAGAGCCTCCTTTAATCATTTCGTGGAAATGATGCGGTCTGAGAGGCATCGTATGGACGAGAGCAGCCCGCTTCAGTAAGTTCGATCAATATAATTAAAATAAAACATGCATCTCCCACACATACTGCCTGATGTTATTGATTTGTTTTAATTGATAAATATAGAGACATTTTTATGTTGTAGGTATCACGTAGAGCTGGTAAAACTTTTAGCCTGCTGCACGATGGGCAAGAACGTTAATACCGAAATTAAATGTCACAGTCTCTTGCCACTCGATGACATCGTCGCTATAGTATCGCATCAAGATTGTATTCCAGAGGTAATTAAAACTGTAACATTCACGCGTATATCAATAAAAATAAATATAGAAGTTTACTGATCTGCAATTCACATTTATGAATCACAGGTGAAAGAGGCATATATCAATTTTCTCAACCACTGTTATATTGACACGGAAGTCGAGATGAAGGAAATTTATACGTCAAATCATATGTGGTCTTTGTTCGAAAAATCATTTATAGTTGACATGGGTTTAATTGCAACAGCCACGCATGATCGGCAACACGCGGATACAGCCTTAGAGACTTACGTGACGAGTTGTTTAATGAACATCATATCCACATTTTTCAGCAGTCCGTTTTCCGATCAAAGCACCACTGTACAGGTAACATTCGTTGTATTATGAGAACAGAAATATTATTTATTATCTTCAATCTATATATATATA